CTTTTCACCGCATTTCCTACTTCAAGTAAGCTCTGTCAGAGGCAAGCTTAGGCGTTCTACAAGAAGACAGAATAAGAGGAAGGAAACAAAGTAGTGAAGAAGCAGGGATGATGACAAGGGAAGGAGGTGTCTTATTAGGAAGTGAATCTAACCACTTTCTATTGCCTCAAATGCCCCTTAAGTGGTAACAGTGCCAAAGTTACTCTATTCTATATCCTGTGCTATTCTATATCCTATGCCCCTAGGTCTACAGCTGTTATTTTACTAGTTAAGAAGCATGTTGGAGACTTAAATGCCTAAAATAAATCTAAAGATTTTCCTGAAGTCTAAAGATTTTTCTCTTCTGAAGTTCGGACAGCAGAACGTGACCCCCCCTACAAAGGCCTGTGGCCCCTAGGTCTGGGTACACATTAAATGTCTAGGCGGACGAAGAAACCGTGAAGCGTCGGGGAAAGCAAGAGAAGAGGGTTTGGGTTGGGGGAGAGACTAAGGTTGGGCTAAGGAGAGGGGGAGCCTGCGGTGGAGCTGTGGTTGGGGGATGTGGGTTTTGTGGCTGAATTCAAAGGTGAGGTAAGAAACCAGGATCGGAGCTGACTGTCAGGGTGGAGTTCACAGGTCCAGGAAAGGTTAGGTTGCTGGGGGGTGCTGACGGGGCTGAAGAAAGACCAAAGAGGGGGCGAGGCTGGGTGGTCTCCGGGGCGCGAGGATGGAGGCGAGGCCCCCCTCCAAAGTCTGTGATTGGATGCTCCTTTAGTCCCGCCTCTCCAGACCCCCCCCTCTCCTCAAGCCCCGCCCACACCGCCGGGCGCGCGCCTGGGGAACGGGGAGGGGGACCAAGCCGGAGAAGGGGGGAGGGAGAGAGGAGAGGCTCGTGCACGCGCCCCACTCACTGCGGGTGCGCGAGCAGCGCGCTCCCGCCGCCCGCGTCGCCATCTTTTCCCCCTCCGTCTGTCTGTCTGCCGTTGGCTTTGTCCGTCTGCAGCGCCGCCCCTCGGCTCCCCGCCACCGGCTTGGCCCGAAACCGCCCTCCGCCTGCCGGGGCTCAGTCCCGGAGAGCCCCGGCCCGGCCGGCCCGAGCTGCGGCCCGGGGCCCATTGTCCGGCGGTCCGTCTGTCCGGAGGCGGGGCCCAGGGACGCGGCGCGCCGCGGTGCGCCGAGGCTCCGGGTAAAAAGACCCCCGTCTCCTTTCCTCCGGGGCTAGGCTGAGGATGCAGGGGCTCCCCGCTCTCTCCCTTGTTCGCCCGCTGTCGGTCCTTTTGTCTGTGTCTGGGGAGGGGGCTTGGTGCTCGCTCTGACCGGAGGGCGGGGGTAGCCCAGGCTCCGACGCTCCCCCTGCGCCGGGTTCCCCAGACGAGGCCGGACCCGGCTGGCTCCCCACGGGCCGTTCCTCTTTCAGTCCCTCTGGCGGTCTCGGGCGCGGGAGGGGCGTCCGCGCCGCCGCCCTCCCGCGGTGGGCCCAGGTCGGGCTGGGCCGGGCACTACCGGGGCGGCCCCGGCGTCTGACAGGCTGGGGTGGAGCCGGGGGAGGAGGAGGATGGGCGTGGGAGTGCAGACCCGGGTGTCAGTCCCGCGTCGCGGTCTCGCAGAACGGCTTCTAAATTTAGATTTCTGAGAAGACTGTGTCGTCTGAGGGTTTGTCTGAGCCGCCTCGGAAGACCTCTGGCTTTTGTCGGTAATTCCTGGGTATCTACCTGTGCTCAGAAGATCGAAGCCAGAGGGACCATCTCGGCTGATTGTACACCTTCTCCAGCCCAAAGAAAGTGGGAACAGGGTGAACAGTGAGGCAGCTACGTGACCAGCTTTCTCGTCCTCTCCTTTTTGGCAGATACAAATCACTGGGATTCGGACGAGTTTACTTTGCTCCGTGGGAACTGCACCAGAGCTGGAGGTGGGAGTGCACCCTCTTTTCATAAAGCTTGGATTTCACCTGCTCCTTTTGTTTTTTTCCCCCATGCTAAAGTCTGTGGTGTGTCCTGAAAGCTGCAACCTAACACCTGTGGGAGAGCAGGGACAATGTTAAGGGGCGATGTTGGCCTCCCTCCAAAGGACTCTTAACCTCGTTCTAAAGGCAAAGCTTCCTTCCTTTTTACGTAGAATTCCTTGTAAACCTGAACCTCACCGTTTACTTTCTTCCCATTACGTTTTTTCTTCCAGATGGTGGTGATGTTCAGGCGGCTCTCCATTTACATTTTTGTGTTAGTTTCAGATTCAGTCTTGGGAACTGAGGCAGTGTTAAAAGAAGAACTGAATGCATGATCTTTAGGGCAACGCGTATATGAATTTTATTACCTTTTATGGCCTATACAACGGTCGTCTAACCTCTGAGATCTTGCTATGTAGTCAAGAATGCACTTATATTGCCATTTATGTATGTATGTATGTATGTCTTTTCTTATTTATTTCCTTATTGAGTCCACGACCCACTGACTTTTTTTTAATTTTTGAGGTAGAGGAGGGTATTTGCTTATCCCCCCCCTCCCCCACGTAATCCCTCAGGTGTGAAGTCCCATTGGGTACCATCTAGTCAGTTCCCCATTTGGCCGCTAGGAGGATTGTGAGATGCAGTGGATACTGCCTATTTCAATATGCAGATGCTCATCTCTGTTTCTGACTTGTGGCTTCAGTATTGAACTGTTGCCTCACCAAGATGATCTGAATTGAGCATGTCTCAAGTTATTTGGCCTTCCTTCAGAAGGATCTTCATTACCTTTATCACACAGTTTCAATTTCTGATCTTGATTAGGAGAAAATTTAAAGATTAGTTAATATTTCATTTTTCCTTATATGATAGAGATGTGTAGCTCTACAAATGTTGGGAGAAAATGATAATGTGCATTTCATTCAACTTTCCATTTTATGATTCCACAGGAAAAGACCCAAAGTGAATATTCCTTCACTGCTTATGCTAATAACTACTTGATTGGAAAGAAATGATCTCTGCAAACAAAACTTAGAACAGAGAATACATACCATTAGCATTAGCTCACAGAAAGTGCCCTCTAACTAGTTAAAATTGATTTTACTGTATACGTTTGAAGCTGGTTTTTTGTTGTTGTTGTTTTAATTAAAGGTCTGAAAAAGAACTGTGTTTGATATGCAGATATGATAGAAGACTGCCTGAAAGCTGCTTCCTTTGCCACTTCCTGTGGAGGCCTGTCTTTGCCATTTGCGGTTTCTTTCTTTTGGTAAGGGGAGGCAGGATCTGATTACAGGTCTGAGATCCTTTCTAGCTACATGGAGGAGTTAGTTGGCATAACAGGAGATGAGTCTTCACTAACTGGAGTGCAGAGTATAGCTAGCAGTAGCCTCTCAGAATGCCTCTTAAGGCATTAAACTACTTGCTTATTCAGTATAAGTACAATTTGAAAGGGCAGGAAGTGAAAGAAAACTTAGAGGGTGACCAAATCCATATTCTTGTCCTTGGTAGGGAAGAGAATCTCTTTTTTTAATCTGTTTATTCACTGTGCCTTTTTTTTAAATTTTTTTATTTTTATTTTTTTTCAATATATGAAATTTATTGTCAAATTGGTTTCCGTACAACTTCACTGTGCCTTTCATAGAAAATTTCAGTTTTCACTACTAATCCATTTCAGACTCTTTAACAACACTTACTGCTGGGAAAGTCTTTCTTAGAAACTAACCAGGAACCTCCAGGCTTATGTATCTGTTCTCTCCAGTTTCAGGGAAGCAGATGCAGGTCTCTGCAGCACGTCTCCTTTGGGGAGCTTTTCTCTTTGTTCTTCCCACTGATCTCTTTGCTACACAGAGGCTGGATTAAAAAGAGGCACTAAAGTTATTAACTTTGCCACTCCAGAGCATGTGAGCAGGGCCAGGTTGATATTCCACACTGGAATGTTGAATTAATACTCAACAGTGTGGATAGCATCTGGCTCTTCTGGTGAGAGCTCATCTTCAACATTGGAAGCCTGATTTGATTCAGTGCCCTGTCATCCACAGTGCCTAGCACTGTGCCTACCTCGCTAGGTAGAGGCTCTATTTCCTGTGCTGATTTCATTTATAGATGCCTAAAAGTTTTGAGATGTTTCCTGTCTTGCAGGGATGTGGTGCTTTGTCACCTCCAGGCAAGATAACTTCTTGAAAAAACATCTGGAGGTTCCCATTTGTGCAGATTGCAGGGCTTGACTTCCAGTGGGCGTGTAACATGTGAGCTGCCACCCTCTTTAGCTTCCATCTGCTTCCTTTTACATTCATGGGGGTTATCCATTTGAGCCTGCAGTGCTTCTAAAACTGTTACCTAAGTGTTTTGCTTCCTTTTCTATCCGGTGACCTTGATCATGATCACATAACAGTGTTCTGGATTCCACAGATAGATTTAGAGTAGAATTCTCTAAATCCTTTGAAGGAGTCCCTTCTTAAACTTCTTGGGACCTGGATGTTGTGCTAGAAATTTCTCTTTCTTTCTTTCTTTCTTTCTTTCTTTCTTTCTTTCTTTCTTTCTTTCCTTCCTTCCTTCCTTCCTTCCTTCCTTCCTTCCTTCCTTTCTTCCTTCCTTCCTTCCTTCCTTCCTTCCTTCCTTCCTTCCTTCCTTCCTTCCTTCCTTCCTTCCTTCCTTCCTTCCTTAAGTTTATTTATTTATTTTGAATGAGAGAAAAAGCACGAGTGGGGAAGGGGTAGAGAGAGAGGGAGAAAGGAAGAATCCCAAGCAGGCTCCGCATTGTCAGCACGCAACCAAATGCGGGACTTGAACTCACGAACTGTGAGATAATGACTTGAGCCCAAGTTGGATGCTTAACCAACTAAGCCACCCAGGTGCCCCCATTTCTTTCTTTCTTTAATTAGTTCAATTATTTATAACTGGTGAGTTTTATATGCTCAATAACTTTTTTAAAAGTCTTTTTATCTTTAATTTTGTCTAATTTCTGGGAAAAATGGCACGTGGTAACAATATGTTTTTTATTGTAGGTCAGCACCCTGCAAGGAAGTAGTAACATATCCAGTTGTGAAACTGGGAAAGGCCAGAACTTTTGGATCAGGAAAACATGTCCCGTCGGAAACAGACAAATCCAAATAAAGTTCACTGTGAGTATTGGGTTTTGTCTTCTGGAACCTGGGAACATTGAGGGTTGAAATGAAAGAGTAATCTCAATTTAGGTGAGATGCTTACACTAATTTGTGTAGGAAAAAAGGGTTAAAGAGGTTGAACGTGATGGGTTTAAAGTGTGTCTGGTCGCTGGAGGAAGTATTAGAAACCTTTCTTAGGAGTAAGTGCACTTGATTCATCCTTAGTATTCACATTAACAGACATTTATAGGATATCTGTGCAAAGCCTTGTGCTAGATGCCAGGACTGTAAAAGAGCATAAGGATATATAAGACTATAGTGGAGCCACAGATACATAAAATAATATTTAAAAACACAAGATAGTATATGCTGAGTGCCATATAGGGATGCTAAGACTGTGTGTACTACAGAAGAGGAAGGAGTTCCATAGACTGAAGTAGCAAGGGAATGCTTCATGGAAAAGGCCCTAGACTGTGAGCTTAAACTGGGCCTTAGAAGGTAGGAAGTGGATTTTTAAAAAAGGAAGAAGGAAGAGGTAAAATCAGGTAGGGAAAATTATGTGAGCAAAGATAAAAGAAGGAAAGCACATGTTCAGGGGATAAGGAGACTTTGTATGAAGCAGACGTTATATTTATCCAGATATTCTAGGACATGAGTTTGGAGATGTTTAACCCAGGCCAAGTTCATACTTCATACTGTGGACTATAAGGAGCTACTAAGGGTTTTCAGGCAGAGAAGGGGAGGGGCATTTAGAATGCAGTGTGTCAGGACTACGAAGCAGTTTGTGTGATGGATCACATGAGAGAAAGACTAGTAACAGGAAAACTAGGTATGCATTATTGCCTTGCATTGTTTCTCAGCAGTTTTGTATGTATGTATGTTTTATTTCAGTAATTAGACTGTAAAATTCTAGAGGGCAGAGACTATGTCCCATTTATATTTCTTGCTATTCCTCTTTACTTCTAGCACTGCTTATAAAGGATGTTCAAAGTGCCTTTTAAATTAACATTTAATATGTCTATCTATGCAGATTTTATATAATTGACCTGTTTCCTATGATCTGGGAAGATAAGCATCCTCACCCAAATGTTTATTTATTTATTTATTTATTTTTATTTAAAAAAAAAAAAATTTTTTTTTAACCTTTATTTATTTTTGAGACAGAGAGAGACGGAGCATGAACGGGGGAGGATCAGAGAGAGAGAGGGAGACACAGAATCTGAAACAGGCTCCAGGCTCTGAGCCATCAGCACAGAGCCCGATGCGGGGCTTGAACTCACGAACCGCGAGATCATGACCTGAGCCGAAGTCGGACGCTTAACCGACTGAGCCACCCAGGCGCCCCCCAAATGTTTAAAAAAGAGTCACATAGCACCTTTTATTATTGAGGACTGACCAAATAAAGTACAGCAGCATCCGAAGAGAATTCAGTGAAATAATACATAACGGTTATTTTGAAGGAAAATGCTCTTCTACATATGAGAGGGTAGATTCGTCAAAGAGTTAAGATAAGAGGACTAAAGTTCATTAAAAATATCCTGCATACCAGGCACTCTGTACCTTATCTTATTGGGTAATTTCAAGAGTCAGAGAAGAAATAGTAGGAACAGAGGAATTAGGTGGACTTGAATATTTTATAAGTTAATGAGATTAGGGTGGCACACCTTCATTTACAATTAATTCTTCAACTTAACTCCTGGAAAAGTTGTAGAAGAGAACAAGTTGGATGCTTCTAGGAGTTCTGGAATAGGTGGATGTGGAAGTCTGCTTAATATAAAGGTGAGTGAGTGGTTTAGGAAGGGTTTAGAAATTGATGCTACAACAATAAAATGTAGTGGGCCTGAATGTGAAGATTGTCAAGAGAGACATCTCTTGATCCAACACAGAGGTTTAGGAGGGTTGTCTTCTCCTCTCTGATTGAAAACAAGTATCAGTAAAAGACACAGATGTGACCCCAAGAAGGCAGGGAAGGAAAGGTATTCTTAGTAGATGGGTTCACAAATAAGGCGGTCATAGGAGTTGGGTGTTTACTTAAAAAAGCTGTCTGTCCAGGGCACCTGGGTAGCTCAGTCAGTTGAGTGTCCGACTTTGTCTCAGGTCATGATCTCACCGTTTGTGGGCTTGAGCCCCATGTCGGGCTCTGTGCTGACAGCTCAGAGCCTGGAGCCGCTTCAGATTCTGTGTCTCCCTCGCTCTCTGCCCTTCCCCCCCTCATGCTCTGTCTGTCTCTCTCTCTCTCTCTCTTAAAAATAAACATTAAAAAAAAAATTTTTTTTAAGCCATCTGTCCAAAGAGACTTGGTTAGATTTAAGGAGAGTAGGTGGCAGGGAATGATGGCCTGATTGTGATAAGGCCAAGGGAAGCTAGGCTTGTATGGCCTTTGCCTGTGTCCATGTAGCGTATATCCATCAGCTGAATCTCCTCCCACCATAGTTGAACCCAGGGTGAGTTGGTACTGGGTCAGAAAACAGATGGACAAACAGGCCATGGAGAAGATAAGAGAGTATTACACATCCACAGCTGCAGAAATGTAGTTTCCAGAGCCGAGTCAATATCATATTGTGGTGGAATGGGTGGGGCTGTGCGGGCTCTGAGGAAGTGACCGTTATGAGGGCCATGAACAGAAATGTTCAGCTGCAACTAAAAAGCAGACCCCCAGGGAGGGACTGTTTTCGGAGATGTATTTGGATGGGGAACCATGAAGGCTTCTCAGGTAATAGACTGAGCTTGACTAAAGAAGAAAAGACACTGAGATTTGCTGGTGTCTCGGGACTTTGTGCTTATTTACTGTTTGGGGACTGAAGCAGATCCTGCCTTTTTAAAAACAGCATTTTCTCCTTGCCCATGACAAAAGTGGCAGGTAGAAATAGGTAGTTTCAGTCTTCTGCCCGCTTGAGTCTCCTGTTCCCTTGCAGTGAAATGGAACCAATCAAATGTATTGAATTTAATGCTGCTTATCTATTTAAAATAAGTGGAATGGACTCAAGGTCTGGGAGGCAAGAATGTCTGCAGAAGCTTTGCTGAAGTGTTAAAGCCAGTCGGCACTTGAGTAATGGCTGAGCTCCATTACATCTGCCTTCTGGGAAGAAGATTGAGTCATGAAACTCAGAGCCCACCTAAAAGAGTATATTAAGAATCCCACTGCTGTAGGGGTGCCTGGGTGGCTCAGTCCGTTAAGCTTTCGACTCTAGATTTCAGTTCAGTTCATGATCTCATGGTTTGTGGGTTCAAGCCCCATGTCAGACTCTGCAGTGACTTTGTGGACCCTGCTTGGGATTCTCTCTCTCCCTCTCTCTCTGCCCCCCACACCCCAAATAAATAAATAAACATAAGGAAGGAAGGAAGGAAGGAAGGAAGGAAGGAAGGAAGGAAGGAAGGAAGGAAGGAAGGATCGAAGGATCGATCCCACTGCTGTAGCCTGGCAGCATTTATCACATCCACTTGAGAAGCCAGCGGGCAGGATGCACTGGCATTTACTTGGCTTTCCTCAGGACTGTCTCTGTATCTGAATTACCATCATGATCTCTCCTTTCCCCAGAAACATCCACACGTACTCTTGTAGTTTGCTCAGTTCATTAATAGATTTGATACAGAGCTTTTGGAATAAAAGCCCAGAATTATTGGTTTCAGAGAAACTGCTGAGGGGTATTAGACCTTCCTCTGCCCCTTCTTCCTCATCTCACCTCCTTCTGAGTACAAGTTTCTGTCAGCTGTTTTCTAGAGAGGTTGAAAATAGAGTCCCTTGTACACTCTCATTTGATGTGTTTATGCCAAGCAAACCACTAAGAAAAGGAGAACTCTTTCTTCAGAGGCTTTTGTTTTCAGATTGAAAAGTACATACAAGACTAAAAACTTTGAATTTCAATAAAAGCTTCTCAGCTTTTACAGAGAAGTAGGAAAAAAAGCCTTTAAAGTGCCTTCTCTTCCAAAAAACGCAACTTGTTTTGTCCTCATTCATTCTGTCAACATCCTTGTGAAGTAAATGGCTATGTTCCCGGCATGTGGTAGCACCTTGGGTCACAGAGACTGTCAGCTGGAATGGAATCCTAAGCCCCTCACTCTCAAGACTAGCTCATTTTTTCTGCATTTGACTTCTGCTCTGTTGGAATATTTTTCAGCTGCTTTGCTTTCTTTAATTTCAGTCAGCCAGAAATTGCATGTGTTTAATTGTACCAGTGACTCAAGAAAGAGAATTGTAAAATCTTTGCCTTTCTAGTAACTTTTATCCAGGCTTCTCCTCTGTTCTACAGACTTGCTTGGATGGCCTTGTTCTTGTCTAGTCTGGAACACCTTAGCCAAATCAGACAAACAGTATCTTGATTTCATACCAAAAAAAAGAAGAGGTAGCACCTTGTTTTTTACTGTAGAGCTTAGATTACTTGTTCTTAACTATTAATAGACAAATAAATACCCATGTTAAATAAGATGGTTGCCCTACATTAATATCTAGAGACCTGAGTGTTTTTTTAACCTATTCCAATAGTTTCAAGATAGAAGGAAATAATAATTCTACATTAGAAAAGCAGACAAATTTCCAATTCTGTGTCTCCCTCTCTCTCTGTCCCTCCCCCACTCATGCTGTATCTCTCAAAAATGAATAAACGTTAAAAAAATTTTTTTAATAAAAAAAAAAAAGAAAAGCAGGCTGTTGTATAACATTTCTCAAGTGCCAGTATTTCTATGGATCACATTATATTTGAGTTACTATGACATAATTTTAGCAGATATCACTACCTTTTTATGAAAGGATAATTCTGGGCAGTCAGATTTACAGCTTAGGTATATAGGGCCTACTGGAAGATCATGATATGCCCAAATCGCTTTTTTAATGGTTTTTATATATTTTGCTTTCTGTCAATGTTTAAGATAAGAATGGCCCTAAGGAATAAAGTTTACCTTAGCCTTTTCCAGGAGTCAGGAATAGAACCAAACTGCCAAAAGGGAATGACAATTAATGTATTCTAACTATCCTAAGTGAGATTGCCAGCAAAAGTCCTAGATAAAGACGTTGTATGGAATTAACTCCTCTCTGTTCCGTGAAGGCCCAAATATTTAGACAATATCAATAGACAAAAATTTTCAGCTCAAGTTGTGGGTCTAAACTGAATCACTGGTAGATCTTGAGAGGTATTTATCCTTTTAGATGTCCTTCTACTAATGCAATGCAATTACCTATTAAGGGGGGAAAAAGTGTATTCTTCATATGTTATAAACCTAGTTTTTTTCTGGGTAGGTTTCTTTAGAGATGAGAAGTATCACTGATGAGAGTGGTCTACCCTTTGATAATCATATGTTGGTACATGACGTGTTCCTCAGTGCCATTTCTACCCACGGTTTCCAGGTCCAAAAGCATGCATCTACCCAGAAGAATTCAGTAACTAATCCAGTTGGCCATGGTCTTGTGGTTACAGTGGAACCACCATGAAGAAAAATATTTTACTTCTGCAAAGAAGGATGAGAAGGTGCTATAACACAGAATTTTTTTTTTGTTCTTCCTTGCAGTAATTTATGTCCAGTTTATGATCTTGATATTTTGGAAATGGACTTAAGGCAGCTTATTTTTCTTTTACTTGAGTGCTCTGTGGCTAGAAGTTCACTTGAACCCTTGCCACCTCTACTCCCATTCCCAGTAGCAATCAGAGTAGCCACAGTATTAGTTACTCTGGCCCCAGCATGGTAACTCATCATAGGGTATCAGAACCATCAAAATGATGGGTCCCTTTGTCATTTACTGGCCCTAAGAACATTATTTTGATCTTTGAGGTGTAGCATCAGTTTCTTGTGGTTCGAAGGTAACATTATCACTAGGATCAGAGCCATTCTTCTCACACAGAGACAAGTGTTTGTTTTCAGCAGCACAACTCTGGTGAACTATCTAAACTGCTTACATCAGGGGTGCCTGGGTGGCTCAGTCGTTTAAGCTGCCGACTTCGGCTCAGGTTATGATCTCGCGGTCAGTGAGTTCAAGCCCCGTGTCGGGCTCTGTGCTGACAGCTCAGAACCTGGAGCCTGTTTCAGATTCTGTGTCTCCCTCTCTCTGACCCTCCCCTGTTCGTGCTCTGTCTGTCTCTGTCTCAAAAATAAATAAACGTTAAAAAAAAAAATTTAAACTGCTTACATCACTGCCAAAAAGCAGTTTCAAAATATGGATATTAAAATTGTACACACCTGGGTTTGAATACTTTGTTCTATAGACTTGAGTTTTCTCTTAAGTAAAATATGTGTAGGAATACCTACCACATAGAGTTTTGCAGAGAATTAAGATAAAAACTATAAAGCACTGGGGCACCTGGGTGGCTCAGTCGGTTAAGTGTCCGACTTCGGCTCAGGTCATGATCTCATGGTTCATGGGTTCGAGCCCCTCATTGGGCTCTCTGCTCTCAGCAAAGAACCTGCTTCAGATCCTCTGTCCCCCTTTCTCTCTGCCCCTCCCCTGCTTATTCTCTTTCTCTCTCTCTCTCTCTCAAAATAAATACATAAACTTAAAAACAACAACAACAACAACTATAAAGCACTTAGCTTAGAGCCTGGAACCAGGATATGCCAAATAGTAGTTATTAGTGTTTAGCACTTAGCATCTAGATGCTCACTGAATTTTTGCTGAACAAATGCCAAAGTGAATCACATGAAGCCTCCTTTACATCAGTTCTTTCATCGTCCAAGGACTGATAGCACAGGTCAACTGACCATTTCTCCTGCCGCATTGTATCCTGTCTTGGAACCTGAACCTGTTTATGTTCCTTTTTTCTTTTCAGTAAGAAAGTGCCTGGCCTGTTGTCAGACATTTCACTAGGGCTTTTTATTCTCTCTTGGTGGCTGGGAGTGGGAACTGTAGTTTCCACTCTGACTGAGATAATGGAAACCTCAAGAAACCCAATTCTCTTTTCTCCTTATGCCTGGCCTCTTGGAAATAAAAGAGCACTTAAATATTAACTCTTCAATAACCACAAAGATCCTAGGCAGAGTTCATTGCAAATGAATGCATAATCAAGGACGGTCCTGGGCTTCTGGATACCCCATATGAAAAAAGAAAAAGGAAAAAATACCTCATTGACCAGGGAGACTAGATAAAATATTATTTCTTGCAAATTAGTTGGTATGTTTCAGGAAGTTTGTTCCTCAGCAAAAATGAGTTCATATATTATCTGTTCTCCATTTAGTCTGTTATTCAACCAGTTGTTGATTTACTTGTGGCTAATTCTGGTAGACAAAGAAAATCAAGGCAGAACTTCCAAAGTATCTCTCGAAAGGGGAATGGATGAAAGATGAGATTAGAGAGATTGTTATTTGGAAGGATTATTTGAAGCACTTGTTTATAGTCAGAGATGAACTCTGAGTCAGGGCCATAATGTTAGTATGCTAAGATTCAGAGATTGTGCCCACATTTGTTGCCCTATCTGTATTATCCCATCACTTTGCCTCTTCTGCCTCTGTCTCCCCAATCCTGATGGTAGGTTATCCGTGGAATTGATATTCTGACGTTAAATTTGTTAAGTAGCAATTGATTACCTTTTGAAAGGAGTCAGGATTGGGAGGATTTAAGGAAGTGATGCTTTCTAGAGCATCTGGCTCACTGCCCAGGAAGAGTAGCCATGCCCAGAAACTCCAGGAGGCAGCAAGCTAAGAGATGGATGACCCCACAATAGGGTACCTGCCTGTCTCCCAACTTTGAATCGTCTGACTTTCCACCCAGCTTGCCTGGGATATGCTGTCTAGCTGGTGGCCTGACTGTTTTTCCTTGTGACCACCAGGGGATCAAGTATTTGCTGGGCTAGAAGAGCAAGCCCGCCAGGCGATGATGAAAACTGATTTTCCTGGAGACCTTGGCAGTCAGCGACAAGCTATCCAACAACTAAGAGATCAGGACTCCAGTAGCAGTGAGTTCTGCACCTTCTGGTAATGACTCAGGGCAATGGGAGAAGAATTATCAGAGTGTGTGTGCTCTGGGGATTGTGCATGGGGGTTGGGAGGAAGACATGAAGAAAGAGATTTGTGGATCCTCAGTGTTCCCAAAGGCGTTCCAAGGTGTATGAACATATGCTTATCCAGAGAGAGGACAGGTTTGGCATTATATTTTTTTTTAACTCATGGACTGCAGTACTTGATACAGTGCCTTACACAGATAGGTTTGTGATGACTGTGATAGACAGGGGTATAGAGATCATTCGTACAGGAGCAGTCCCTGGGTTAGGTGAAATGAAAATAATCCCTGTCTCCTAGAATCTATTTACTTAAAGTTAACAAAATATAAGAGTGGCATTAATGAAATTTTTGCTTGAGGACCCAGTTTGAATGTCACACAAGAGGATTTGCTTACTAATGAGATTATGCATCATATAAAATGCTAAAGTCTGGGTACCTGGGTGGCTCACTCTGCAGGGCATGTGAGTCTTGATCTCAGTCCGAGCCCCACAGTGGGCATAGAGACTACTTTTAAAAGAATAAATTAATTTTTTTAGAAAAGCAATAAAGTGCTAAAGTCAATGTCTTTCTACACCAAGCCCTAAGTAGATCCCTGGAAGGAGATGGCAAAGACAGTTATTGGTAACTAACTGAGCCTGATGGATCATCTGTTCCATGACCTGCCTGAACAAATACATTTTGAGATATATTTGTTGAAATACAAATTTCCTAGGATGATTTCCATACTTTACTAATCACATCCATCTGATATTGGATATTATTACTGTCAATTCAGAGTGACATTTTTAATTTTTCTCTACATTTGGGATTAAAGAATAACAAAGAGGGAAAGAATTCAGGGGCCTTCTAGGAACTAGTTTTCACTCAAATTAATAATTTAGCAAAAAAAAAAAATTAGCATCTAATTGCTCAGGTACAGAAAAAACGAAAGATTTTTAGAAAACCTATGGGAGCCACCAGTTTGAATAACAGGATAGGAATGGCAACGTCTATAAAAGTTTAATAGGTTTCCATTCTGGAAAAGCTGCATCATTCCTCTAGATGGCATACTTATTTTTTTTTAAATCTTTGGAATTCTATATTTGGATTTTTGATCAGTCACATAGCGTGTTTGATACAGTAGTGTCTTAGACTAAGTTTACAAGTACTCTGGATAAACTGGTGAGAAAATGGTATGATTTAATCTATTCAAATCCTGCATCTTTGAGATAAATTCCCACAAAAGCTTTGGGCTAGGGAATAAGGCATACATATGATATAGATCTTTCCAGGGCCCAAATCTAGTCCACCAACCAAGCAGAGTATCTAACAGAGACCCACATAACTACTAGCAGATGATTTGGTTAGATTTTCTTATGAAGACAAAGAATGTAACCAGTTTTGCCAGATACTGGTGGATTTAAAAATTACACGAGGGGTGGTAGAGAGAAGACAAGAAGCACTGTAACTAGGAAAGCTGAGTCTCACAGGTGACAGTCTACCCTGTATTTCTCTTGCTCACAGTCAGGCCCAGGAATCCAGAATCTAAGGGTGGTTGGGATAGGGTTGGAGTCTGACAGCTTCCCTAGGCTTGGCTTCCTCTTGTGATCTTCAAGGTACTCGTACTTTTTTTCCCTTTCAGAACAAACTCCTTATTATTATCGTGGTTTTTAAAAAATCTTTTTCTTTTCTATGTATTTTATAATGAGGGAACAAAAATCAACCCACAAAAATTTTGCAGACCCCTCAGCCACAAGTAGACCTCCCCACAGCCACATCCTACCCCCTAAATGAAAATAAATCAATTCTTACTTTAGTTATAAGAAATTGTATTTCATCCTAAAGAATGTCCTGTTCCCTCCACTTAATGCAGTCAGTTATCCATCAGATAATCCAAAGAACCAATGTAAACAATGGATTTATTTAGCCTGGAATCCTGAGTTACTAGCAGAGTAAGAACCCACTGAGTCAGGTACCACAACAAATGGCCTGAGGTTGGTTGCTGTGCTGTTTTTTCCACTGGACTGAACAAACTTTTCCCTATAAAGTAGACATTATTTTTAACTAATTGACTACTATCTCCTTTATTGATTAAGAGGAAGGAAAAACTTCCTTGTTTCTCTTTGTGCCTTGGGGTTTTTTGGGAGAGAAAAGATTAGTGGGACACAGAATAGAATAGTGTATGTGATACCATGGAAAAAATCATGCAGGGGGTTATGGAGAAAAGTAAGTAATAAAATCAGTGAGAAGTGTGGGTAGGTCAGAGGTGATGTGTTGTGGGAATGAATGAGCATGGTGTGAGGTGTATAGGAGGTATGATTTGAAGTATGAGGTATTTGGGAATCATGTAAGAAGAATTATTTTTATGATAACATACAGGGCCCAATAACCATTGTCTAATGGTTTTGCCTGAGATTTTCTCTTTAGTGTGCAAATGGCATTATAAATAAGAGCTAGCAGCTCTTTCACTTAACATGATTTGTATCCACTATCCAACTATATAGACTATTCATTGATATAAACTCTGTTGTGGAAGATCTGAAAATGTTTTCATTATAGCTACAAACTCTAAGGTGGAAAGCAACTCAAGGCCTATTTATGCAAAAATCAGAACTAGTGACCAATTTGTGTGTTCTAGGTGACAGTGAGGGTGATGAAGAGGAGACCACACAAGATGAAGTCTCTTCCCACACATCAGAGGAAGATGGAGGGGTGGTCAAAGTGGAAAAAGAGTTAGAAAATGTGGAGCAGCCTGTTGGTGGGAGTGAAGTGGTAGAGCATGAGGCAAGTGACAAATGGTTCCTGAGTCCAGGAACCCCCCCGACCCTTCTGCTCAGCCCTGATGCCTGATGGTCTCCTGGACCTTCATGTGAAGCCCATCTTCCTCCACAGCTCCATTTACCCAAACCTCAGACACAACTCTCATCACACCAGCTTTCCTGTCCACCCACATGTCACTAACTGAGGTACAGCTCCCCCACTTCTTTCCAGACGGAATATCCACTTTTGCAAGACTGTCGGCTGACTTCCTGAAGTGTACTCTCGAATATGCTTGCAAATTTAAGTCAGAGTGTTACCTGAGGTGCCACCTTCTCACTAAATTGTTTCCTGAGGATTCCTGCAAGAAGGACAGCCGGAAGGAAGCTAATCCGAGAGAGTTAACCTTAGGGGAAAAAACAGAGAAGCTGTCCCTGGGGCAGCCCTATGTCCTCATGGCAGGAAGCCTTGGAGAAAATAAAGATAGGAGCAAATTTTATTCCCTTGCCCTATTACTTTTTCTTTCAGTCCATAGTGGAAACCTAAGAATAACATGTGATACCAGGTTGTGTTCTTTTTAACAGGATACCCTATTAAAAGAAGTAGGGGCAGGGAAAAGAGTGGTAAACAGTCTTAATGAATTGCCTACTTGTTGAATTGCAGGTCACGGGGAACTTGAATTCTGACCCCTTACTTGGACTCTGCCAGTGTCCCCTCTGCCAGCTAGACTGTGGGAGCCGCGAGCAGCTGATTGCTCATGTGTACCAGGTATGGGCTGGGGAGCCACTTGCTCCAGAACACGAGCGTCAGCAGCTTGTTTATTGGTTAACCTTTGCCTCCAGCTCCCAGAGGAACCTTGGGCTGGTGCTTCCAATAAGAGTCCACTCCAGGCCCCAGAACATTTTAGAGACTAAGTGGGATATGTTGGGTAAAACTGTTGTCGGTTCCCAGGCAGACACCCTATGAAAACTTAAGTATAATTTTTTTCCCCAAATTACTTAATGCATATTTAAATAGTTAAATCGAAGGTAAGATCCATTAATAATGAGGGCTTTGTTTTAAAGAAGAAAAAAATGAGTTCACATAAATGTTTCTGTTATACTAGAGAAAGTGTAAATGAAGGGATCGGAAGAACACGAGCTTTTGTGCTCTTTTTTCCATGATCCAATCGCAGAGCACCTTTGCCTTGTGATCTATATTAGAAAGGGCATCAGCACACATGGCAGCCTGAGCTTTACCATAAAGGGAGTTGGTTAACAAACAGACACATTTCTTTAGAAGATTGTTTTGAAAAGATTGAAGAAAAGGTAGGACAAAATCTCTTTTGGATACCAGTCTTTCTAGCTAGCTTCTACACTTGGCCTTCATTGCCTCCTTACCATGCATTTGTGTCTGCACAGTGTGAGGCAAGCAGACAGAAATTATCCCAAGTGTGAGTTCTTTGCAGGTTTTGAAGAGGGCTCTTGCTCTGGAGCCCTGTTATTCATCAGGCCAGCTGCACGTTCTAGAACATAGTCAAAACTCAAGCTAATGAAATCTGAATAATCGGCATGGCCTGGCCCTTCTAAAGGCCTGTTAACACAAGACTCTTACTTTTCCAGGTGCTTAACGGGGAGAATTGTTGCAAATCCCTTGTTCTGAGACTAAGGAAAGGGGACATTTTTTAGAAAGCAGCTTCTAAGTGGGTATGACTTATCTTAAAGGTTGCATGAGTTGACAGATTAAGGCTCTGTTTTGCAGCACACTGCAGCAGTGGTGAGCGCCAAGAGCTATATGTGTCCTGTCTGTGGCCGGGCCCTAAGTTCCCCAGGGTCCTTGGGTCGTCACCTCCTAATCCACTCGGAGGACCAGAGGTCTAACTGTGCTGTGTGTGGAGCCCGTTTTACCAGCCATGCCACGTTTAACAGGTTAGCTGGCCACCTAAACCTCTTGGTCTGGGAACAAATTACTGGGTGTGGGTTCTGCTTTCCCAAATCAAAACAAAGGCTAGAGATAGGTAATGCAAAGGCAACTGACCCTTGACTCCTTGGAAATAAAAGTAATGAAGCTAGTAAATATGACCATTCCATTAGATATCCCCAGAGAGAAATGAATTCCCATTTCTTTCCTCTATCAGGATAATATTTTCATAAGAGATAGGGGTGGGGGAGAAGTCCAAGAACATTCATAATAAAGTTCACTGGAATAAGTGCTAAGAGGCCCCTGATAGAGGACACAGTCTCCACTGTGTCCGAGGAAGACTGGAACTATGTGAATTGTGTCCTAGTTCCATTTGCCAAGGGTACAATGCAGAGTCGTCCAAGGCAGGAGGGGCTGAGCCAGTGGACTCCCCTAAAGGCAGCTTCTACTTCAAGGACTGCTGCTTCCACAGGAGGACTGCCCTGCCTGGCTCTTAGGAACACCACCAGCCAGCTGGAATGAAAACTGCATATTTGTGGGGGTCCAGCTGATACCTGGCCGTTGGCTTTGTGTCCAATTCCAGGTGGGCTTTATAACTTGATAGACCCCCCCAGCCCAGAGAAGTTGGGGAGTCGGAGAGCTAGAAGAGGTCTCCCAAGTACTCAAACTGACTCCTAGTTGTGAACTTGGAGCAACTGGTCTGGTAGGACAAGAGTAAGTCAGAGCTAGATACCTGAGCTAGACTAGAAGGAGACACTAACGATCCAAAATTTTTGTATTCCAGCGAGAAACTTCCTGAAGTACTTAATATGGAATCCCTACCCCCAGCCCATAGTGAGGGCCCCTCCAGTGCTGAGGGGAAGGACATTGCCTTCAGTCCTCCAGTGTACCCTGCTGGAATTCTGCTTGTGTGCAACAATTGTGCTGCCTACCGTAAGCTCCTGGAAGCACAGACCCCCAGTGTTCGCAAGTGGGCCCTACGTCGACAGAATGAGCCTCTGGAAGTAAGGCTGCAGCGGCTGGAACGAGAGCGCACGGCCAAGAAAAGCCGGCGGGACAATGAGACCCCGGAGGAGCGGGAAGTAAGGCGCATGAGGGACCGTGAAGCCAAGCGCCTGCAGCGCATGCAGGAGACTGATGAGCAGCGGGCACGCAGGCTGCAGCGGGATCGGGAAGCCATGAGGCTGAAGCGGGCCAATGAAACCCCAGAGAAGAGGCAGGCCAGGCTCATCCGGGAGCGGGAAGCCAAGCGGCTCAAGAGGAGGCTGGAGAAAATGGACATGATGTTGCGAGCTCAGTTTGGCCAGGACCCTTCTGCCATGGCAGCCTTAGCAGCCGAAATGAACTTCTTCCAGCTACCTGTGAGTGGGGTGGAGTTGGACAGCCAGCTCCTGGGCAAGATGGCCTTTGAAGAGCAGAACAGCAGCTCTCTGCACTGAACCCCTCCTGCCCTCTCACTCACCCAGGTCCCCAGGGATCAGTGTGGTAGCCACCCACAGGGCCCTGTCCTTACTGCCAGAGACAGGCCTGGGTTGGCTGCAGGTGGACCTGCGTACCTTTGCATGTGGGAGCGGGATGCTGGGATCAGCCAGAAGCCGACTTAACACGGCTCCGGACAAGGGAGTAGGCAGGCACTCCAGAGAACTGGACTCCCCAGCCCACTGCTGCAGGGCATGCTTCTAGGACTGCAGGGCCTGGTGCGGCCCACGGAATTGTGAGGGCAAATAAATTAATTTTATCTTTACTGGCCTTTTTCTGTTTTTCTCTCCATTTCATTCTAGCAAATGAAGTGATGTAGGAGAGACCCAGGTGGAAGTTTTCGGCAGGGACTTCTGGCAGATTGTCTTCTAAAGGGAGGGCACTCCTCAATTTAGGTGGCCCAGAGATCCCTTGTTTGGGCCTTTACAAGCTGATAAGGCATACCTATGACAAGAAAGAACCATTGCTGACTTTGTGAGAGTCCATTCCCAACAGCCTAACAAAGATCTTCTATAGTCCCAAAGGCCATTTAAACCTAGCATACTTTTTCCAAACTCAGAAGTAGACACCTTTCCTCATAACTGGCATTTTCTAAAGAGATACAGTATTTATTTAGGCTACGGGCTGGCTACTTTTCCCAGCAGAATTCAATTTGTCAAACTTTAAAAATCCTATCCTAGCGGCACCTGGGTGACTCAGTTGGTTAAACGTCCAACTCCTGGTTTTGGCTCAGGTCATGACCTCACATTTCAAGGGATTGAGCCCAATGTCAGGCTCTGCACAGGCTAGTGCAGAGCCTGTTTGGGATTCTAGGTCTCCCTCTCTGCCTCTCCTCCACTCACGCTGTCTCTCTCTCTCTCTCTCAAACTTAAAGATTTAAAAATTTTTTGTTAATGTTTATTTATTTTTGAGAGAGAGATAGAGCATGAGCAGGAGAGGGGCAGAGAGAGAGGGAGACAAAGAATCCGAAGCAGGCACCAGGCTCTGAGCTGTCAGCAGAGCCCAACATGGGGCTTGAACTCACAAATCAGATCATGACCTGAGCCAAAGTCGGGCGCTTAACCAACTGAGCCACCCAGGTGCCCCATAAACTTAAAAAAAGTTTTTTAATCCTATCCTAGACAGCAGTCAGCTTTATTGAGGAATATGTTCACAGAAGTAGCTCTAATATTGGAGCACCTGAATGGCTCATTTGGTTAAGCATCCAACTCTATTTGTAATTAAAAAAAAATTTTTTTTTTAGTTTATTTATTTTGAGAGAGCACGAGCTGGGGATAAGGGCAGAGAAAGCGAGAGAGAGAGAGATAGAGAATTCCAGCAGGCTCCGTGCTGCCAGTATTGCGCCCAATGTGGGTCTCGATCTTACAAACCATGAAATCATGACCTGAGCCCAAGTCAAGAGTCGCTCAACCAACTGAGCCACCCAGGAGCCCCCAGTGTCCAACTCTTGATTTCAGCTCAGGTCATGATCTCAATGTTTGTGAGATCCACCCCCCATGTTGGGCTCTTGTGCTGACAATGTGGAGCCTGCTTGGGATTCTCTCTCTCTCTCGGCCCCTCCCCTGCTCATGCACGCACTCTCTGTCTCTCTCACTCTCAAAATAAATATTTAAGAAAATCTAAAATTTCAAAAAAATTAAATAGCTCCAATATTAAGATCTATAGTACCAAGGAACTCTTGTTTGAGAGAAGTGATCCATCTTCTTATTTATTCCCCAGAGCCAAGGTAGAATAAAACCCATTCAGAAAAATCCAGAATTAAAGTGAGAAGAGAGTTGAAGTTGACAGTGGTCAAAGCCCAAGCAAGATGACCATTTTGTAGGTCTGCCAAGCCGAGGAGCCCAGAGCTGAGGTCATTTCTTAAAAGTGTCTGTGATGGTACAGAACAAGTACAGAACTTTCCTTAGCCTGCACCAAAGGTTGTGTACAGTTTAGATAATTATAGATCTTGAGGTCCAGAAGGAAGTGCCCTAGTTAAGCTGTAGCCAGAAAAATAACTATGCCAGGAATGTGGACCTCTTCCAATATCATAACAAGGAAACTTGGACTCCTCTCCGACCTCCATAGGTTTAAGGCTATTAAATAGTGTTAACTGACAGCCCCCGCCCCCCAACCACCACCACCAAACAGGTTAATTCCTACCAGACAGGCTGAGATAGTTCTGTTTGGGGAACACAAAAATTTTAATAAACTTATTTCAAACTACTGGACTTTTAAAAGAAAAAATGAGCCAAGTGCCTGTCTCACAAAGATCCATATTGAACTTTTACTTGAGATGCTTCAAAATGGTTGAGTAGTCACTCTGTGTCAAAGATTATTCTGAGCATTTTATGTAGATTATCTCTGCTAAGTATCACAACAAACTGGTGGTTAATACAAACTCAGGAATCTCATGCCTGGATTTAAAATTCTGCACTGCCCTTTAAAATCTGTAACTTTTGGGGTGCCTGGGTGGCTCAGTCAGTTAAGCGTCCAACTTTGGCTCAGGTCATGATTTTGCAGTTCATGAGTTCAAGCCCCACATTGGGCTCTGTACTGATAGCTCAGAGCCTGGCGCCTGCTTCAGATTCTGTCTTCCTCCCTCTCTGCCCCTCTCCCACTGGCCTCTCTCAAAAATAAACATTAAAAAATTAAAAACTATAACTTTTATTAAAACAAACTATAACTTTGGGGGGAAGTTACTTTAGTCTTCGTTTCCCCAAACACAAAAATACTAGCAACAAGTGACTATTAATAAATAGCTAATATATATTAATATAATAAATGTAACTTAGGATAGTTTGTGGCACCTAGTAAGTGCTCAATAAACTGATCTGAGTCACAAACGTGTGTTTCACCTCCTACTACTGGCAAGCTTTCTAATTTAGAAGCAGTAGTTATGATTGCTGCTGATGTATTCCAGCAATTTCTGGCAATATTCCCGAGGAAAGGAAAGAATTGGAGAAAAGGCCAGCAGTGAGGATATCTACAAGTCCTTGTGATTGATCATGCTAACATCTAAGTGTATAGGTAGACTTCTGGATCATTGAAATACATACCAAAAGAACGTGCAGCCATGCTTCAGGACTAGCTTGCACAATCTGCCCAGAGTCCACCACATAAAGATGGGAACAATTTGGTATATTACAAGCTCTCCCACAAGCTATCCCCCACCCAGCAGCCACCATCTAAGGCTGGGATAAGAAGAAGGCGCAAACACCAGAAGGAAAAGCTAGTAGTTTATATAGATAGATATATAGATATATAGATATTGATATATATTGTGTTTACATAGTCCACAAGTTAAATGCAGGTATCCATAAGAAGAGCATTAACAATAAAAATACAATCTGTGTGTAGCCAAGTACAGAGACTTAAAATGGTAAAACAGCAAAAAGGATCTCACAAAAGTACAAATATACAGTACAAATTGATTTATTTAAAACAGTTACAAAAAAGCACAACAAAATAGAGATTATCCTTAGAATTATTAATGCTTTGTTAAAGATCAGGTAGGATTAGAGGGTAAGAAATGGTACTGGGTGGGGGGAGCACCTGACTAGTTCTAAGGCTTTAGATACAATGCAGTTGATTACATATTAATTCAGCCATTACATACTGGGGATAGTAGTTGGGGGATCAGTAATTTATCTACAGGGAACTCCTACACAAATCAGATCCATCCAGACCTCCCCAGTGCCATCCTTCTTTACTCCTCAGGACCCTAAAGCCACCTGGATGACAACATTCCTGCTTTCCTATCTCCACCCCATTCCCTATCCATATATTCTTCCCTCCCCTAAGGTGCTGTGCAAGCTGAGAGCAGTCTGCTCTCTGCAGCTGGAACATATACTGTTTTGGCTACAGGGATCCTGTGTGACTAGGAAGGTTGTAGGGGACAGCCTTATTTTAATACTTCAAGTTTGCCACGAGTACAGTCAGTCTCTTCCCAACACAATCTATATTCTCTTGAGTGTATCAAGCAAATGAGGGATGCACCCTGCCTTCAGCAATACTAGCAATGCACTAACCACTCACAGCTCACAACCACGTGCAAACTCCCTGTCTAGGGAGTGGGTGTAAAACCACTGTGTCACCAGCTCCCTCTCTCTGAAGAACCTCAGTCCCCGTGACAGTCATAAAGACAGAAATAAATGCTTGCAAGTTTGACAATAGGTAAAGGCACATGGGCTGCTGCCATACACACTGCAGACAGGAACCCAATTTGAGGCCATCTTCACTGCTGGGCATCTGCAGTAGAATGGCTTTGGGATCACACAGACTGAGTTTGCAATCTACCAGGGGAGGATCTAGGCTTAACAGGAGAACTAATAAAGAAACCTTAGTGTGAAAAGTGCATTTATTACTACTGTTCCTGCTGGGGAGGCTCAGCAGGGCAAACCGCACCAGCTCTCCTCCTTCCACCCCAGGCACTGTGCATAGTCTGCAGGTAAGGAGAGAGTGCAGTCAACTCTAGCATCGAGGGCCGGTGTCATCCCAGGCCCAGACCAGGTTTCTGGCCCAAAGATGGACCCTAGAGTTGAAAGAGCAACTGATAGCTGCAAAGACCCAGATGCTTATTTTATTATTGCATAATGTGGGAGGCCTTCCCTAGCCCAGGGAAGCTGGATGGTGAAGGCTTCCCAGCAAAGGGCTAATAGGTTCCTGGTCAACATCCACCTTACATAGTCCAGCTCTTCAACTGTAGTGTACACTTTTTCTCATCTGGAAAGTATTGTAGCTTCGGTGTGGTTTATTAAACTTAGCCCTAGGAGGCCAGGAAGTCTCCCTAAAACTTGACCTCTACCCTTTGCTCTTAAGACTGTGACCTAATCTCCATGGCCAGTTCAGTTAATCAGGTATCTTTACTCCAATGGACCCAGGCCCTTTCCCAGTCAACCCACATCCACCCTTCATCTCCAGTGTGATCATTCACCTCTCCAATGTGCCTGCTTGTTGCAGGTCTAAATCATATCACCACCCTGTTTATCTCCTATGATGTCCACTAGTAAAAATAAAACTAAACCCACAGAGGGGCTATTTCAGTCAAACTTTAAATGCTCTCCAGTCCCAGAATCCACTTAACTGGAGCCAGATGAACCTCCCTAGGATGCTGACACAGGCCCTAACCTGGTTCCTCATCATTTATTTTAAAAACAGGATACAAGATACCACAAAGGAAAGCGATTAATACATAGAAAACGCCCACTAAGAAGAGCTGCTTGCTTCTCCCTCAAGACAGTCAGATTTTGGAGCCAAAGGGCTCCCAGCAAGCACTGAAGCCATATCCCTTTGGATTCACCAGCCCACCAGCAGCATTTCATACTATCCCTATTCAATAGGACTTTGCTATAAAGTAACACTTGCACAGGTAAGAGTGGACAGGATGCCTGGATTTCCCCTCTATGCTCAGACATGGAAGGACAGGGAGCTATAAAGGGTAGCAGGCAGGACAGTGAGCAGACAGCAGCAGTGGCAAAGCAGCACAGACCAAAGCCCTTGGTGTTACAACTGACTGGGACCAAAAATGTAGAAGGGTCAGTCCAGATCTGCTAGGGGCCCTCCCCTTGGGTACAAGCATTCAGCTCTGAATTCCCTTCCCCCACACCACCACCCTCCATGCCCCCCACCCCTCCCCACGTACACTAATCTTGATAGGAATGATGATCCAAGACTTGGGCATATTACTCATCCTTTACCTAGTCACTCTACTCCCAAATCGGTACAAAGCCACTCCTGTTCAGTGCCAGAGTTAGCAGGCCTCCTTTCTACTCCTCAACTCTGGGAATCTCCTACTACTGACAAGGGAGTGGCTCTGGCCTGCTTCAACTGCCCATTTCCCAAAAAGCTGACAGCTTCCACTAAAATGCTCACTATCCCCAAACTGCTCTTAGGTCTCTTACAGACGTATGAAATTCCTTTAAGGAAGAACAGATACACCACAGGCTCCTTTTATTTCTCATGCCTGGAAGAAAAGACTGAACCAGAAGGAAAAGGCAAGCAGAATGCCACAGTTCTGACCAAGATTTAGAGCACAGAGCCTCTGTTCCTGGGAGCCCATACTTGACAAAACACACCTCTGCAGCTTTGCAAAACCGAGTATTAATAAATTACATACACATGGCGTGGTACTAGAAGAGCTGCTGATATTCCTTCACCAGCAAGAGACAGAAGAGAACAGCAGCAGAAAGGTCAGGGCCCAATTTGTGCACAAGATTTTCTCTTTCCAGGATTCAGTGGAAATTACCAGGCTGGGAAGTGGACAAACTACTGTATCTGGTTGGACATAGGTTTGCTCCCACAAGAGGAAGCTCAATTGGTGTCCTCGGGGAACACTTCTTGAGTGTCTACTGTGTGAATGCCACTGTATTCAGTTGGTGAGCCTTCCTATGAGGAAGGATGTTTCTGAGAAACCCGTGCAAACAATAATCCCTAGGAATGAGTTGACCACGGAACAGTCAGAGATGAGGCCTTCTCCTGGGGCTGTCATCCGAGAGGATTCCTCAAGACTTATTCCCACAGGCCTCCTCTGTAGGAAAAGCCAGAGAAAGCAGCATTCAGAGAAAATGGGGGACAGAGAAGGGAAAGGCGATGATCCCACATGCATACAAGGTTGAGTGTTTATCACACACAGTTGGTGTTTGGTTCTGAGGTGACCTGGAGACTTAAGTACTCACAGTCAGGTCAGCAGCTTCCTTTGGATGGGCCCCTAAAACCTGACTGACCAGGTAATTGCTCTCTAGGAATGAAACAGTGGCATGTAGGGCTTGGAGCAAACAAGCCGGTCTCAGTCACTTAGTTCCCCCCGGAGAACAACCTTTAGCACCAGAACACTAAGAATGACTCCATTCTCAGAACTCCCCCTCCCCCCAGGAGGTAGGTAAGATTATTAATCCCCATTTGGCAGCTGGGGAGGAAGTGAAAGAGTGAGAGGTCACAAGACTTGCCTGAAGTCCTTGACAGAGCGGAGATCAGACCTCAGAGGTTTGGGACTCCTGATGGCAGGCAAGGCCTCAGCCAGTCCAAGTACATTTCTAAAGAAAATGCCAGGATCATATTATGGGAGAAGCCTCACCAGAGAGCTGGGTGGACAATACCCTGAGTTGCTTCAAGAGTCTGAAGACCCCTGAAAAACAAACAAAAAACCCACCCACCCACCTGAAAGCTGGTGGGGGAGCCTAATTCTCAATACCCAGTGGAAACCCACAGTCCAAGCTGATGCTAAAAGTTGTGAAGAAAACATGGGCTTAAGACACAAGGGGACAAATGCAACTAAGATTAAGAATGCTCTTTGCAGAGGAATTCTCCACCACGAAATGAAATCTAGAAGACTTCAGGTACTAGAAACTTATCAAGACCCTTATCCCAGAACCTCAGAGCTGGCTGTGGGAGGGGATGGCTCCGAGAAGCCTGATTGCTGACAGGAAGTGGAATAAGATGGGAGGGGCTATGTAAAAACACCAGGATGGGCACTGCCCAGCCAGGTGTATTTGCCCTGACCCAGGGCACAGTTCCCTTCTTGTTTCTCTACCAAGCTGTTCAGCTGCAGAAGAGGAGGGGACATGATTCTTTATGAGTTTTTAAAAATAGGAAATATAACTAAAAAGGAAATCAAAGAGACCCCTACACACCAAAAACAAGAGGTCTTGGTCAGAGGAGACAAAAACAATTGTGCAGAAGGGGAAAGGCAGTGCAGCTACAAATCAGGCCCAGGTCAAGACACCATGCAGAGGTTAGGGCAGCAGAAGGGTGGGGACAGCGCAGGCACTTAGGCACAACATAGACAAAGGAGAGTAGGGGACTGGGTAAAAAGGTCCACTGGTTCTTTCAAAAGTCACCATTACCAACTAGAAATTCAGTACAATTTCGAAGTAGGTCTGGCATGCTGGGTAGGAGGAGCTTTGTTACATCAGCTACCTTTCCAGAAGCCCTGCCTAGAACCCGGTCACCTGGCCATCAGGTCTTTCTCCTAAAGTCCCGACTGGGTCCCTGCCAAAGCAGTACTTCACTCTGAACCCTGGAGGGGTTTCTCTCTCTCCTGGTGCTAGAAGCCTTGTGGGAGGAATGGTGGGGAGATGGGAAAGGGCTGAAGCACAGAATCAAGCAGAGTCCTGTAGATGAGTGCTCCTCCCCCACAAACCCACAGACATCTGTAACAAAATCACCCTTTAAAGTGCACAGCTCTCAAAAGAAGAGTTCTGGGTGGAAACCCTCTTAATCCCAATCATGGGGCTTCCTGCCCTCCCACCACAAAAAAGAAAGGAAAAAAACTTCAGACAGTTGAACTGCTACTATAAGCTGTGGATCATCATTTTTGGCTCTTTCTTTGCTCCCTCCCTCTGCCACCTGCCCCCAAAGCCCAACTTTCCCCTTGCAGGAGCTAGGGATGGGGAGGAAAGAACAGGGAGGCCCTGATATTTGGAATGTTTCTTATCTTGTGTGCACCCCCATCCTTCCTTGGCTCAAGCCTGCTGCTCTCCATCGCAGCACCCTCTGGGGCTGTCCTGAAAGGCTGCCATGGGGTAATGAGCAACAGACCCTGCCTTGGGAGGCTGCCTTCATGCCTCCTCTTTCCCCCCAATCTCACTGCCAAGAGAGCCATTCCCTGCTCGGCATGTGCAAATCCTCTGCCTGCTCACGGTGAGGCCCAGCTCTGGGGTGAAGCCCCAGTCCTGGTCTGGGAGAGAGGTTCATTTTCCTGCATTGGAACGCCCTTCGATGGACAGCTTTACCTCCTGTGAAATGAAAGAGGGACGGAGCAGTGCAGCCCGTGCCTCCTCCCCTTGCATGCTGTATCTTTGGAAGCTTGGGGCTGGCCAGCAGGCCTGAGCACCAGGCTCCGGCTGCGAGGGCTCTACCATTTGGGAGCCCTCGCCTGGCGGCTGGCTCTTCCCCTCACTGTCACATTGCTCTCTGGGTCCCAAGACTGTCCTCTCAGGCCTTTCTCGGGGGGGACCCAGCTGGCCTGGGGGAGCACAGCTAGCCTGAGAAACTGAGTTACTGTTCAAGCTCTGTAAACTGATAGAGATGCAGACATCTCCCACCTGCAGCCGATGGCAGGGCAAAGAGAAGAGCTGTGCAGTCCTCCCGGGGCTGCAGGAGGACCAGCCCTGGCCATATACAAAGAAGGGGTGCTCAGGGGGCACCTCGATGCTCACTTTGCTCTGCTGCTCACCAACCACGAAATGCAGCATGACAAATCCAGGCCACTGGCTCTCCTGAATGTCCACGACCGTGCTAGAGTCAATCTTCAGCCCCCCGCTCACTTCGGCACTGCGCACAAAGTCCTGGGTCTGGAGGTCCTCCACCCGCTTCAGCTCCCCTGTAGCCAGCTGGATGATGGCGCCTTTCATGAAATGGGAGGGCACGTGGGAGGAGGTAATGGGGGGTGGCGTTGGCTCCTTATCTGGGAAGGTGGCTCTGGCCTGCATGTCCAAACTTGATGCCACCAGGATCTCCGAGCCCATGGGCAGCAGACCTGGGTCAGTTCCAGTGGGCACCAGGTTGCCATTGGCTACAACCATTGCTTTGGGTAAAGGTCTGTGTTTCACCGGTTCCTGATGGGATTGAGGGTAGAACCCTCGGGCCTGATTTTTCTCGGCCATCTCTGCTGGGTTCCTGGCTGACCCTCGCCCCTCACCCTGATGGTCGGGTGTATGATGGGACAGGTTGAGAGGGCTGGGCTCATCCTTCCTCTGAGCTGTCACCACACGATAGTCCTGAGAAGCTAAAGCGCCAACCACCCGCTGGACCTCAAGGTCGGTGTCTGGGGTCCCTCGGTGTGCTGGCACTGCCACCTCCACCCGTGCAGTCTGAGAACCTGAAAACAACTGTCCATCCACCACACATTCTACCACTGGCACCAGTCCCTGGCCTTCACTCTTGCTGTTGGGGGAGTCGAGGGCTTCGCTTTCCCGTCTTACTAAGTTTCGTTCTCGCTGTCTCTGTCCATTGGCAGCGGCTGCTTCCAGAGCAGACTGGCCCTCCTGAGGGGTAAGAACTGGGCTGGCACCTGCTGGAGGGGTTTCATGCAAAGTGTACCCAGCAGGTAGCCTGGACATCTGATAATAAATGGGCATCCGGCCTGGAGCAAGGTCCAGCGGCTGAGTACTCGAGTGATGTGGCAACTGCCCAGGTGGGGAGGTGGCAGAAGGGACTTTGTTGAATGAGTGGGCTGGGGAGGAAGCCTGGGGGGGAGGAGTGGCTCCTTCTGCCAGGAGTGAGGCATATGGCACAAAGTGAGGAAGGTGAGAGGTGGCGAGGTTGGCAGAAGGAGAAAGGAGGGGACTTGGTAGGAAATTAGGTGGCACAGCATAGGGAAGGCTATAAGGAGACCCGATAAACTGCAGAGAGGTGGACGGGAGTTGAGCATAGTGGATTGGGGGATAGTGGATTCCTGGATGTTGAATCAGTGAAGACGCTACATTAAATGTGGGGGGCAAGGGGCTCATGTTCACCACAGATGGGAGGCCAGTTGGGGAGAAGGTAGCAGGTGGCACAGCCACCTTATACAGCATACCATACTGGTCCACTGTCAGACCAGTGATGGCCTCAGCTCCATCACCCCCCAGGCTGACTCTGGCTCCTGCCTGGCTCTGCCCGGCCACCACAACCCCTCGGGACCATTCAGAGGCATCACTGGAGGGTGTGTGGTTAGTTGAGCAGCTGGTAGTTCTCCCCATATCCTCGCTGGTCACGGGGAGGTCTCGTTTCTTTGGTGGAAGGCATTCCTGACTCCTCTCATGAACAGGTTTCATATTGCTTTGTGGTGTTCCTTGAGCCTGGAAGGGGTCGGCTTGCTCCTTGGGGCATCAGAAGGGGCTTCTCTGTGGCTCCCCTGCACCCCTCTCTGCTGCTGGCTGGGGCGCCCACATCTGCTAGGGAACAAATCAGAAGCAAAGAAAAGTAACCTAGGAGTGAACTAAGTCAAAGGAAGTAGCAGAAACCATGCCTATGGAGGAAGATGTTACAAAGGGTGCTGCCAGGGGAAAAATGTAAGAGAAAGGGGCAAACAAGGATGCCACTCCCCTATCCATCCAGCCCAGGACATGAAAGAAATAGGGAAACCACAGACAGCTACAAGAATAAACACTCAATGATACGTAAATAACCTGTGGGCTCTACAACCCCAGAGAGACCACCATCTTCATGATTAGTTGTGCCTTGACAGGAACCTTGACTCTTCCCAGCCTTCTTCCCTAAGAGAAGATTTGACCACATGGTCTTTGCTGCTGGTTCTTTTTCCTAAGCTTCTCCTTTTGTCACCAAAGACTACCGTGCTATCTTCTTTCCTGAACATATGACCTCATCCTTGCTTCCTTTCCCCAGCCTAATTTGGGTTATGATCTCACCTTTTCCCATCCCCCCACCCCACCCCCACCCCAGACCTGGTTACACTCTCATCCTCCTTTGCCTCATATCACCACTATCTCAAAGACCCAGGTGCCAATGAAAAATAGTATCTTCTTTGCCGCACGAAATACTACATTCAAATTTGGGCCCTACGGGGAGAATGATTGTACTAGTGTGTTTCATAATTTATCTGTTTCTCCTCCTCCCTAAAGAGCAACAAAACTCTTCTGACCTCAAATAGACTTTTTACCCCCAGTCTGGAAAGACTTCTTTTCTTCTCATTGGCCATCTTCAATGTACTTTCTTCATTCATTCTCTTTCTATTGTCCTGTGTATTTTCTTTTGCCAATGGCTCCTTTTCCATTGTAGGTCTGCTCTAGGAACAATTTCCTAAAATTCTGGCTCCATTCCTTCAAACTGCTTATTACTATCATAGGCCTATATGATTCATAAGAAAGCTCTCTCTCCCCTTTCTGTCACCTTTCATACGTGCTTTTGTCCATTGTCATATAGTATCCTTTTGTTCTGAACATTTCAATGCATACAAACTTTGTCACCTATTTCTTCCAATCAAGGCTCCAGTTCTTTAGATCTGGGTATCACAGTGTGTTCTGTTTTTCCACTCTTGAATCCCAGATGCTTTTTCTGCAAGAAGGTGTCCAAAGCTCCTGTTATTACCTGAGCTTCCAGTGGTGCCTCTGAGCAGCTGTAGTAAGAAGCAGTGTCCTCCCCACTGCCTTGGGAGCCTAGAAAAAGAAATAGGGATAAAGTAAGCAGGAGCCTAGACTCTCACTTTCCCCTGAGTCATCCAGAAAGGTAATTCTAAAGCCACAAAAACATTAAAGTCCATGAGTCCCTGCCTCATCCTCTGCTCCTGAGGTAACAGTACATTTATCCAGAGTGTGTAGGCATTTGAATAGAGAAAAGGCTATGTCTTAAGCTCTAATTTGTAGAAAGACATCCCTGAAGAAAAATTTTCAAGCTTCGTCGTTTTCCTTAATGTCATATTCTTCATTCTCTACCTGTATCCATTCCCAAAGGTTAAATATACTTCCAATCCCAATTTCAGGTAAATGCACAACCAAAAATGGAAGACTCAACATTTATTCCCATGTGACCAATGGGAAGCTGGAAAAATCAACTGTATTGATTTCACCTTTATTCAGGGATGATGAAAACAGATGTGGAGGTTATTTAAATGACAAAAGTGGCACTAGAGAAAAAGAACAATTATTTATGTTTCTGGGGCAGAAAAAGAGGTCAAGGGGGAGTCACTCAAGGGGAAGCCTTATTAACGGATTTTCAGGGTAAAAAAAAAAAAAAGGATCCTTTGGGTGTGTGTGGGTAAAATGTTCTGAGTGACAGCTTCGTACCAAGTGCTGAATCAGGTGTGACAGAAAATGAAAACACTGCCTTGGTCCTCATGTAGCTAACAATGGGGAAACAAAACTCACATTAAACTATCAATACCTTAATCTACACATGCCATTAACATCAAGCACTCAAGAAAGGAACCTTAATCTCTCAAAACAGCTAAAGTAATATTGACCAGTACTCCGAGAAACTACCCACTGTCCTGTCCTACAGAACTGCAAGCCTCTAATCAAACTGAAGGCAACATTTATCTCTTTAATCGAGTGGCAAGGTGTGTATGTACAGGAAAAGGTGATGAGATAGGAAAACCTGGGGGAAAGAAAAATTCTCAGTTTCATAAATACAAATTACACGGTGGGCACAAGTCCTGCGTCCCTTCTTTGGCAGCTTCAGTTCCAGCTGAAAAGCAATTAGCTTTCTCCCTCACTGGCAACAGAAATTGGGGTCACATCTCCACTCCCTGAACGATCTTTGCTTCCTGCAACTAAAACCTTAAGGAAAACCTGCCTCTGGGTTAGCCAAACACAGCCTAATAAAAGAATTAAAAGAGGCAAAATGTGAGGGAATGACAACAAAGAGTCAAGCCTGTGCACCAGGTTCCCACAACGGAAAACACAATTCGGAACCCGAAACCTCGGCTTCAGGAGGGGCTCAAAGAGGACTTCTCAGGGTGTAGACGCGGCTTGTGACCCTGACAGAGCTAACGGGGATGGGGGTCAGTCCTGGAGAGCTGCCAACGTTGCCAGAGTCCAGAATCAAGAGATTGTGCCCAAAATTCGGTGAGGTGCGCCCGCCAGAAAAGAGTGGAGCTTGGAAGAGACTACGTGTTATGGCTTCTCGTGATCCTGCAATCCTTGCTTCCACAAGGGTAGGGCCCGAAATTAGAAATTCAGCGTTTAGGGGTGGGGGGTCGACCCTTCAAACAGAGGGGCAGAGGCAAGGCCCTGCAGACGATGCTTCCTTGTTCGGGGGCCCCTTCCCGCACCAAAGACTGGGACACCCCGGCCCTCGGGGACACAGCCGCGGGGGCTCCAGGGCCTGAGGCCGCCTTCTGGGCCAGGCCGGAGAAAAGCGCGCGGGACTCTAGGCGCGGCCTCTTTCGCTCCCCGGGTTCGCGGTTCTTGGGCCCCGGTCCGGCGGGGCAATGGGTTCCAGGAGGCCACTTCCTCCAGAGCTTAGAGCCCAGGCCTGCGTGGCCTCAGTGAGGCAGGCCCAGCGGCCCGCACTGCCGGCGACACTCACCGGCCCATCTCACGGCGCTCCTCGGGCTCCTCCCGCTCGTCCCGGAGCCACCGCGACCGCGGCCGCCGCCATCCCCGGCCCCGGAGCCGCCCCACACCCAGCGCCCCCCCCCCGCCGGGCGCCCGGAGATGGCGTCAAGTGCGTTCCGCCCCCGTCGCAGGCAGATGGCGTCAGGGCCCGAGCCCAGGAGCAACGCCCAGGAGTACCCGGGAAGGGAGGGAGCCGGCCCCTGTCGCCCCTCACCCCTCGCCCCCAGCGCCCCCTCTGGTGGGAAAAACGAACTCCTCCCCTGGGGAAACAGGGTCACGTGAAGAAGGCTGGGCCGGCCCTCTCACCCTGACCCCACCATGACCCCTGCAGTCTCTGTACTCCTGTAAATTCTGGGGGTTCCCAAACAGAGCCTGGGGCGTGGCCAATAGCGACCCTCACGTCCTGGATTTCCCAGGCTTAACTCGTGAAGCCTCTTCTTGGGAACCTCGGGGAACTCCGAGGAGACCCCTGCCCAGGAGAGTAGTAAGGTGATCTCCCTGGAGACCCAGGGTAGAGATGGGAGCTCTTTGAGTTGAGAAATGGCTTTCAGGGGCATGAGAATGGACTGGACCTAGGATTTAGGGGAAGATGAAACAGTGGTGAGAATTTGCGGGATGAGAGGAAGGGGGTTCATACAGTGGGAAGGAGCTTGATTTAGTAGGAAGAGGTTTTGACTACTCGATTAAATATTAAGTCACCATTCATTGCCAATTAATTAGCCATCTTCATAGTAACATAAACATCTGATTAACAAAAAGTGAAAGCCAGTCGAATTTGTACTCTGATTACAACTGTGTAAAAAAGTAGTTCTGTATACAAAAAAAAACCAGAGGGAAAAAATAAGTTTAACTATTGGAGAGACTGGATTCTGAGTGGATTTTCCCCCTTTCAGTTTCTGCAAACTCTTTTCACCAAATAACGAATGATTTCTGTTTGATTTTAAAAGTACTGGCTGGGCTCTGGTCCCTACTCTGTAGCTATCTCACCTTAGGAGAAAGTCATTTTACTACTTGAGACTTAGGTTTCCACTTCTGGAAAATGAGGAGCTTAAATTAGATGAAAGGGTGGTAGTAAAATGTAGATAAAAGAGCTCTCTATAAACATTGTAAGTGAAAATGTAAGCAAATATGTACAATGTGATATCCTGCATTTAATGTGAAACGTAACATATATAAAGTCATCTTTATGTATTTATACAGAAAAGGAACGGAAGGATATGTAACAACTAGTTAACATTGGTTATCTTGGAAGAGAAAAGTGGCACTGGGTGGTAATCAAAAGATAAAAAAGGGACTTATTTGGATTTTTTATGAGAATGTTATCTTAGAAATATTAAGATGAGTAAGTTAAAATACAAATAGAGTATATGGTCTCTTCTAAGATTCTTTCTAGGGAATCATTAGACCTCAGTTTTGGTATTTTCTGACCTGGAAGGTCACAAAGGATTATCAAAATCATTGAATCCCGCCCCACCACCGCACACACATACCTTGCACCAGTGGGTGAAACACTGAAGCTACTCATCTGTAGCCATCTAAATCAGCAGAGGGCTGTGCTTCGAGGATATTAGTATTACTCATGACAGTTGTCTTCTCTCTCAATTTGGCCAAGAAGGAAGTCCTGTGGTCACTCAGTGACTCCGTTTAGCACTAACTGGCATTCTGGTTTCTAGTTCATTGCTTAGCTCACTAAATTGGCATTAAAACTGCCAAGATAAACAAATAAATAAGCCTATACTCTTTTTTACATGAAAATGATACACGTACTGCTGTCTTTGCCAATTTTTTCCATATCAATAAATTCAAATCATTATTTTAAAAAACAGGCCAAGATAGACCCTTGGATCATCCAGGTGTATTCAAGGATAGCCATTTTCTCCCAGATCAAGACACATTCTCAGAGAGCCAGTGTTTCAGACAAAATTGAAAGAGCAGACACAGGTAGATGCAAGCAAAAAGAATTTTTTGGTTACCAGCCATTAACATGATTACATAGTACAAAGGTGTGTCTGATTTTTAAAAAAACACAGGATGTTCTGATCGGTGAGACACAGGTGATTTCCTGGTTTGATGCTGCAGTCCCAAAAGAGTGGGTCATATCTCTGCTGTATCCTCTTCTAGAACTCCAAGCAATCTTCATTTCTCTGGTTGTACATATTGACAGTAGGAAGCTCCATAGAGACAGTTTTACAGGAATGTTAGTGATAAGTAAACTAACATAGTTTTTGGATTTAAGACACTAAAATAACCAAAAGTTACCTCATTTCTCCAGAAATCTGTATTATTGTCTGGAATCTGTATCATTCTCTATGTAAGTTATTTATAGTAAGTAAACCCAGGGTCTTATTCACTGTAGCTGGCTCAAAACATAATTCTTGAATGAAATTTCAAAAAGATACCTCTAACTGGGAGACTCTCCTTGCTAATATTTTTGCTCTCAATTCCTCATTTCTACTCCAGTTTTGCCTATTTATTACCTGTTTTCAGTCTCTCTCATCTGAAAGTCCTTCATTTTCTTTTACCAAGTTTGTTTGTTTAATTTCCATGGGGTTTTAAGAAGTGATGAAGTGAAAGGATTTTTTTTTCATTAAAAAAATTTCTTTCCTGCCCCATGAAAGGAAAAATTTTAAACTAGTTGAGACATTTGGGAACTGAAAAGTTATACTTCAGTCTGTTTTGTCTACCTCTTCTCTTTCCTTGGATTCCCAATGAATTTCTTTGATGTGTGTAGATTGAATTTGTGTGATGGGAGAGTTTGAGCTACTCTTTGGAAGGAAAACAAGTGACCACAAAACCCTGCTAAGCTAGTTATTCTTCTCCCTAAGCAGGCAGGAGTTTCAAACCAGCTCTGTCAGTGTTGCTTAGTTCCTCATTGTTGATTTTTCTAGACCTATAGTATGGCAGGGGAAGTTTAGACAACTATCCCAACTCTTTTTTGACATTAAGGGATCAAACCAGAGAGAAGTGCTGGCAGTTTAGGAAACCGCGTGTGTCATCACAAGAAAAATAGATGGTTTTCATACTGTCCTGTGTTTTTGCTTGTATGGCTCAGCATGCAAGGGTGCCATTTTGGGAAATAACTTTATCTTTGGATGCCAATGGCAGAAACAACAATTCATCTCAAGTATATGTTGAAATTATAGAAATACTTAGCAGATTTGGCTTTCCCTAGAAATGTGTTGGTGCCTGGTATTAGATTATTTTTCAGAAGTTTTCTAGATGTCCAAATGTAGAAATGTGCAGTTTTCAAGCTTCTGTTTTATCTATTTCTCTGAACAATTCTGTGTCCTTATTTCTACATGCTTTTATTTTTATTTCTTTTTAATTTTTTTAATGTTTATTTATTTTTGAGAGCGAGACAGCACGAGCAGGGACAGGGCAGAGACAGAGGGAGGCACAGAATCCGAAGCAGGCTCCAGGCTGTGAGGTGTCAGCAGTCTGACGCTGGGTTTGACAAACCCACAAACCGTGAGATCATGACCTGAAGTCGGACACTTAACCGACTGAGCCACCCAGGCGCCCCTCCATATGATTTTCATGTTATGTGCTTTCTCCTGATTCCAATGGGGGATCCCCTTTTCATATTCATTAATGTTTTATTTTCAAGGAGGTCTTGGAATTTCTCCATAAGTGACTAATATATCCTTTGGGAAGGGGAATCCTGATCTGTTGTCTACTTCCTCAGACACTTGCCAAAGGCTTTCATTTTTGTCAGAAACTTCCTGAAGAACTCTGAAAAGTTGCAGTCAGAACATAGATTGGAATAAACTGAAGGAAACCTAACTAACCCTTACTTGAATTGCAAGAATCGTATCTGGGGAATTGGGCCACAGAGAAGCAAGTACATTTAGGCCACTGCCAAACAGCCAGAAATTCCTTACAGGGGCCTATTGAATGCATAAAGTAAATGTCGAAAAACTAATGCCCCCATGACATTGATAACTCTTTCTCTGCAAAACTGGCTCAGCAAGGTGATTTGCAAGCTGCCTGCAGTGCCTCCTGGTGAAATCATGTTCATCTCTGCCTTCAAAGCTGATCGCCTTCAGGTCAACTTGCAACTGGCTGTCAATTGCCTAAAACTCCTGGAAAAAAAGAAAAGTGAGTAAATACTCTAGACAGCACAGTAAGCGGCCTGTCATCACTGAGCACTACCTTCCCACACCCCATATATCTCCTAAGACATTACTTAGCAATTTTAGAATTCAAAGGAATGTTTCTGACTTGTGGAAATGATTATTATAGTGCTCAAATTATTTAAAAGTTTGGGGCACCTAGATGGCCCAGTTGGTTAAGTGTCCTGACTCTTGGTTTTGGCTCAGGTCATGATCTCTCTCTCAAGCCCCACATCAGGCTCTGCGCTAATGGCACTGAACCTGCTTGAGATTCTCTCCTTCTCTCTCTGCCCCTCCCCCACTCATGCTCCCATTCTCTCTCTCAAAATAAATAAACTTAAAAAAAATCACTTCAGGGGTGCCTGGGTAGCTCAGTTGGTTAAGCGGCCAACTTCAGCTCAGGTCATGATCTCACTCTGAGTTAGAGCTCTATGTCGGGCTCTGTGCTGACAGCTCCGAGTCTGGAGCCTGCTTGGAATTCTGTGTCTCCCTCTCTCTCTGCCCCTCCCCTGCTCATGCTCTGTCTCTCTCTGTCTCAAAAATAAACACTTAAAAAAATTTAAATCATGTAAAAGTTTCCAAAGACTATTCTGTATCTTGATTGTATCAATATCAGTATTTTGGGGGGTGCCTGCATGGCTCAGTTGGTTAAGGGACCAACTTCAGTTCAGGTCATGATCTCACAGTCTGTGGGTTCAAGCCCCACGTCAGGCTCTGTGCCGACCGCTCAGAGCCTGGAGCCTGCTTCAGATTCTGTGTCTCCCTATCTGCCCCTCCCCAGCTCGTGCTCTATCCCTCTCAATAATAAATGAACATTAAAAAATTTTTTTTAAATATCAGTATTTTGGTTGTGCAAAATGTTATCACCACCAGAAACGGAGTAAAAATTACTCTGGATCTCTCTGTATTGCTTCTTACAAACTGCATATGAATGTACAATTATCCC